ATTTACTCACTCTGCTGTCCCAAGGCCAAGTTCCTCAATGCGTCCCCCTACGTGCCAATTCTCCCCCCATGGAGAATGGCAGACTTGCAGGCTGCATACAAGTGATCTCGGCTACAACGCCGGGATCACTTGTACAAAACAAGCGGCGGCTTTCCCGTTGTACATTTAGCTCTGCTTGCCCAAGCAGAAAACAACTACCCGCCCAGAACTGCATGCCCCGGGCATCGGGAGATAGGAATACCACACCCCTGCTGCCCCTCTACTCCCTGCTGCCCCAAGGCCCATCTTTTCAGTACATTTAAAAAAACGGTTTTAGCTGTTATCTGGCTATTTAAACCTTTTGTTTGTTGTAATACCTGAGGGAGGCAGATTATGATAAAAGGTGCTGCTGACATCATCACTGGGTCTGTTTGCTTCTCTATACAATGCAGGCAGATCATGGCTGGTGGGGCCGGGCCGGCAGGGTGCTGTACGTAGCATCCTGAAAACATCACAGTGCCCTGCCATACCTGAGGAAGGAATATTATGATAAAAGTGAGTGGACCGTGGTGGATGGAAGGATATGGAAGCGGGGCATATTCACATCATAGCATTGTGCTGATAACGGGTGATCTGTGCGTTTAGCGCACATAAACGCAGAGTGCATGGTACCAAACCCTAGGCGCATTGCCATTCATTGTGAATGGCACCCCAACACATCTCCCAGCTGGAGTGTGTTGTAGTTCCATGCAATGCGCGTTAATGCAATACTGAGTGAAAAATTGTAATGCATGCAATACTTGGGGACACCATGCACCTTTTTTATGGTACCGCGCGCTGCAACGCCTACCTGGCAGCAGGTGCATTGGAGGTGACCTTCAGAATGCACCTAGCCTGCAGTGCTGTTTTTCACGCGTTTCCAGTAACTACTTTCTATTGGCTAAAAATAACAACATAAAAAAGCTCAAGCCTGAAATGCGTAACAAAAATGCTCAAACAATACCCCCCAAAAAATTACCAAAGTCATTCAGGTCAAGGGCGAATGAGGATTAGATTGTAAGTTCTCTGGATCAGGGTCCTCCTAACATTGTATTGTAACTGTTTTGTATCCCTTCGTTTTGCAGATCCTGGATTATAATCATTCCTTAATAATAATTAATCATTCATTAATAACAAAAAA